TAGAATGAAAGATGCATAATTTATGTTTATTTCCTAATTTTTTATGGTGGTTGCAAGATCGGTCAAATTTGCCAAACCCATACATAGATTAATTATTGAAAATAACAGATAAAATATAAAGTTTTTTTCTTAAGCAACAGTTGATAATTATTTGGACATTATAAAGATTTTGCATGTGAAATTTCAAAATTGTCTGATGCATAAAAGTATTTTTAATATTAAGATGAAAATTACTTTGCATGATAGATAGGCAAGATGTGAAAAGTAAAATAGGCATGAGAGAAACATTGCTTTAAAAACCTTAAGACTTAATAAAAAAATTAGATATTTTCCATATGAAAGCATTGTAATGTTCACTGATAAACTGCTAAATTTCGTTAACATTTGCCGACTAATTTAAAAGTTATAGCATGAAAACTATAACAAGCACAAAATGGTTATGAGGTCAGTTCCACAGACCAAGCCAGAGTTGGAAGAGTTATTGGCTGGTAATTCCTGTTTCACCCTGTACTTAAGTTTTTAAAAGAATAGCAGGTATTTCTAAGAAAGTTAATTTCAAGGGGTAATGATAACATCATTTACATTAGAATTATGATTTTTAGCTTATGTCAAATATAGAAAAAGCAAATCAACTTTTCAATATCCCTATAACCTTCACAATACATTATTTAGCATTATACAAAAGGCTTGGGTGCAATTTACCAAGTTGTTTTTCTTATAGGCTGGCAATAAAATAAGATTAATTACAAACAGACCATTTTTTTCTGTGCAAGTTCAACGTGTGCTTTTTTGTGCATTTTTATGTTACAGCCTTAGCAGTCAATAGTAAAAGCCTTAAAATGTTTTTTGAACTGAATCTTTACTATTTCAGGAGCTTTTTACCCATATGTTCTATTGGTGTTTTGTGCAATTCCTTGCAATCCCTATTATGAACCACTCTCGTGGTTCACGATATGTAATAGTTAAACCAGAAACTTACACAAAATGTTAATTTCTTATGTTTATTAAATATCCATGATAAAATAACTAATTAAGAATTTTTTTAGTGTGAACAGTGATGAATAAAGTTCTTTCTGAACCCTTGCAACCTAACATAACATATGTAGTTTTATTCAGGAGGATGTCGTTGTAACGTTGAAACATGTAGAGTCATCAACATTTTGAAGGCCACAGATAGGCTTAAATAAAATGTTTTTAACTTTATACACAAGTGCCAAAATACTATAATCACTATACAATTGTTTGTTTGTTGTTGTTGTTTTTTTGTGAAGGAATAATCCAAAGTTTTTTTAAGGTAAGATTACTCGCAATATCAAAAAATTAGTCTATATTTTGTAATGGCATACTTGTTTTTGCTACACAGTGTAAACAACCAAGCACTATGGATATTTATGGTTTAGATATTACTTCCTAAAATTTATGTTTATGTGTATATTATGTATGCTGCTGTTCTAACAAACTATACACAATAAATGGTGTTTAACAATTAACACACTTTATTCAGCATGTCTAAATATTTTTAACTGTGATAAACAGCAGGGGACAAAACAGTTTGGTGGATTTGATCAGCAGAAACTGCTAATCAATATTGAATTGGATTAGCAATTAGCAAATCTTGCTTGGCATCTTTTTAACATTCATCATTTTAACACATTACGGCAAGTAAATCCAGCAGTAAAAGTCTTAACTCTTTGTACAGCTTTGGCATATCAAACTGAAATTTTAGGGTACTTTCACTATGTTATTGGAGGTCTCAAAGACAACATAAAAGAGAAAGGAATGATTTACACATTATACTAAGCAAAAAGGAAAGTGATTTGCAAATTGCAATGCAAACCCTGATATTTTTGCCCCTGAACAGTAAAAATTTAACAGTTAATTGAACTTGTTAAATGTATTTTCAAATTTCTAAAAGTTACCTAATTTAGCAACCATCTTACATTGATATTGTCTAAAAGTATTTTTTGTTTTAATTTAATTTTGTAAACATTTTTAAGTAAACCAAACCTTTGTTTTATTGACTAAGTTTGATAACAGTGTCAATAATTAATTTCAAATAATGGACACTTTTCTTTTACCATACTTGAAAAGAATGTGGCAGAATGCACCAATAATGTTCTATATGTAAATAGTACTGTACAAAAAAAAGTTTAGTAAGATTCCAGAGAACATATTATGAACTGTCACAAGTCTTTACAATTTATTTAAAGATGTAACCACCATTCAATTTCAATTAGTCTTCAAGTTTGAGTTATTTTAAATTGCGATATAAATCACTGAATTCCAGAAAATGGTATGTGTATATATTAAAATCTTTAACTGTTAGAGGCCATAACACTTTGCAGAAAACTGAATCTTTCATAACAAAGCTAGGGGTAAACAAAAGGATGTAAAATAAAGAATTTACAATAAATAATGTTATCCTAACATACCTTCTCTAGATAAGTGTGTGGCACTTATCAAACATTTTCCAAGCGATTCTTCTTTCTTGTATGGTATAGACCAATGATCTGTGAACACACGGCTCTCCAATTCATATAAGTGCGTAGTAGGAAACTCCAAAGAATTTACATCACCTTCATTCTGTTGCACGTTTCCTTCACCCTAAAAACATAACAGAAATTTAACAATTCGAGTAGTAAAATAAAATTTAAATTGATACTTACCACTACTATATTCTCAAGCAATACCTCTTGTTTTTGCAAAACATTACAACTTTCATTCCTTTCCTTATTTTCTCTTTGCTGATTTAATGTCCACTATTTGCATTACATAATCTTGTGTACATATTCTTCTATGAGAAAACATCAAGAATGTAATTAGATGTCTCATGCCCTCTAGCAACAGAATGTATAGATCATTTCCTGTCACATAATATTGTTTCTATTTACCTTTAACTTGCATTTACAAAACCTTAATGACATATTTTCTCTTCAACCCACAGTATTTAAAAAAATGGAAATAAAATTGTGCCTGAGAAAGAAAGGAATAGTTCAATAAATAGAAAAAAAAAAAACACCTGCCAACTTTCACCAAAGCATTATGGTCAAATTAATGAGAAAGCCATGATCTGTCAAGAAGTCAAAAACACACTATGATAATACTTCAGATTGTTAAAAATATGGTGAAGAAAGGCATCTTCAGTGATTAATTAGACAACAGAATAAGATGATTGTAAAGGAAGTATTTTAAATAAGAAGATGGCTAGACCACCTGAAGAATAGTAGAATAAGAGTGGGAATACCACTCACGTGCTATTTAGAATGAGAAGTATTACAAAACCCCACCCCATTAGTATCAAAAGAATATGAAATAATTCAGCACAAAAGAGTCTGTTTAGAGGTATAAGGACTTGTGCTTTTCCAAGAGCACTGTTGGTGCTCTGTGATGCTGCTGAGGTTTGTGGATGTAATAAGGCCTTGATGGGGATGGCTTATTTACATCCTATAAACAGTTAGACAGGTGTTTTCAATCTTATTTGACTGTGTAGCCCTCATACTGACTACTGGATTGATGACCATTACTGTCTCACTGCATCATTTACTCTCCCTGTTGAAGGATGATTTGTATGTTGCTTTTCATTTCAGCTTCGCTAAAGCCACTGTTTCACACCAAAAAAGTCAGCAACAATGGTTAGCACACAGCAACTGGTAGGACTGTCAGTGCAGACCAGATCCATGTTGGAAATGTTAAAGAGGATTGCCAAAAGTGGTAATCCTTAAGCCATACCAGTTTTTATGATGATCCGGTGCCAGCTTCTATACTTCATGGTACATCCTCTGCCAGTTGTTGCAGCTATAATCCATCTTACACAATACAATAATGCCTGTTCTAAACATTTTGCCAACAAGATTGGATAGCTGGACTATACTATGGATATTTTTGAGATCTAAAACTACTGGAAATATGTTCTTATCAGTTCCAAGAACTTCTGAAGTATCAGTTGTGAATTCAGCAACATTAATCCATGTTTCTCTTCCAATGTAATAACCATCTAATTATTGTGGTAGAAGTGGTTCAAACTGATAGGCAAGATTTTTAGTTGCAGCTTTCTATGGAGCCTGCCAATGATGTTTTGTAGAATGATGATTCAATGATCTTTAACACAAGAGTTATCCTTCATGGATTTGGGTAAGGATTCGATAGAGGCATAAGTTCATATTTCAGAGATGCTACCTGTTGCCCAGCTATAATGATACTCTTCACTTACTTCAACACTTTGACATCTGTAAGCTTCTTAAAGGAAGATATTCTTACACCTTCAAGAACTGGAGCTCCATTTTTAGATGTATTTATGACTTTAAATATCTCATCCAAGCTAAAGATGGCTACCATATCAAATTAAGTTATAGGTCAGATAAGAACAGATGTAGTTTGAGCATCTCCTGCATGTTACCATGGTTACATGGGTAAGTCATTTAAATACCAATTATGGAAGTTATAGTTTCATATATAGCTATTCTCATTCAGTGCTGCTCTCTATTTACAAAGATTTTTTTTTGCATTCCATAAGCCTTTCATTCCAATGCACCCCTTGATTCACATGGTTTAACTGTTTCTCGCATGCAAACTATCATTTGACAAACCTCCATCAATACAAGTGCCATACACCCACCTTGTTCCATGTTTTATTTATCCCTGAAGGTGTATTTCCTTGAAATTATTATATGTTGTGGTTCACTGTTCAATCTATGTCCTCTCCCATTTGGTTGTGCTCTTCTCAATTTTCCACTCAGATCTGCTAGACACTTTTGAAGGATGCTTCTACTTTCTCCCTCACACCTTTCCCTCCAACTATTAAATGTGGGATACTAGTTATGTATGTGAGTGGAAGTAAGGTACCTTGTCAGAAGTTATAATCTTCCCATACTGAAAATGTATTTCTGACTGGTACTTACTTCTGTAATACTTTCCACTCTTCCTCCACACTGTCAACCTGTGCTTTAGTTTCTGCTTAAACTCGAAGTTATAGTTAGAATGTCATATGATTCATAAGACAAAGGTTCAAACAGAGGTAAAAATGAGGCAGTGCAGCACCACACTGATATCCCAATCCAGAAGGAGTGCACACCTCAGAGGTCGACTAATCTGGAAGAAATGCAACAACAGCAAACAGTGTGGGATAAAGGAACCCGATAACTCCAACCTTATTTGTTTATGAATCCATATACTAGAAAATCAACCTCACTTGCAATGCCCTTCTGTCACATCCTGTTTTTCACAAACTGCTAATAATTTTCTCAGAGATTTTTTATACTATATCATTTACAACAAATAGAAAACCAAAATATTTATCTAGCAAATGATGTATTATATTACATTTTTCTATTCTGTCTTCAGTTTGAAACTTTTTCTCACGGTATTCACAAGCTTCGCTGAATTTTTAAATGGTCTTATGCCACAGTTAAAAAGCCAGATAAAGTATGATAGTTATAAGACATCTTTTGCTTTGTATGGGTACATTATGTAATTAAATAAAAATAATTTGGTGTAGTAGTACCATTAGTACGAAAAAGCAGAGTTAAAGTTCCTCAACAGTCAACAGCAAAAGAAAAAAGGACCCAGGTAAGTATTATACTTGTTTTTCACGTGTATTCTTTATTTATTATTAGAAAAATAATTACAATGTAAAAATTAAAAACTTCTTACATTAGTTAAGGTTAGATTAGGTAAGATAATGAAAATATAAAATAAAATATAAATTATTCACAAAGTATACTCAGGAGCAGCTCACGTGTCACGTAATTTGATATGGTAACGTGGATCACACGTTAAAATTATGTACAGAGAAATGTATACTGTTACAAGCTTTAAGCTATTTAGGATAAACAACTGTGGTTTCGTGTTCAATTTGCAGTCATTCTAGAAAAAAAAAGAGTAATTTAGATATATTTCATATTTTTTTGATGGTGGTTAGGAGATTAGACAAACTGACTAAATGAGTAAAGTTTGGTTAGAGAAAGTAACAATGAAATACAAAGTTTTATTGACAAACAAATATATATACTTACTTAGAAGGTTTTAGAAATTATGCATATGGAATTTCACAATTTTCAGATAATATATTTCTAATCTTAACAAGAAAATCACTTTGCAGTTAACACTCTGACTCCGAATATTCACAAACAAATGTTTAACAACAGTATACAATTAAAAAATCAGATTTTTTATGTACAAAAGACAAGACTGAAATGTTTATTGAAAGCCTGCTACAGTTTGTGAAGATGCAAAACATATTAAAAGTTATAGTAACTCAGTCAAAAAGGCCAAGCCAGTAGTGAGAGAGTTAACAAAGCTAAAAATCACTAAGTTAATTAATGATGTCACAAAAATGTTAAAAAAAATCCCAATTATGCACATACAAAAAATAATATGGAGTGGTTTGAAAAGACCTTGAGCAATATATCAAGAATGTGATGTTTAGACCAAAAATATGCACTCGTACATTCAGACATAGCCCAGTTGGCGAAGTTGCTGAGGAAAATATCCACGATGAGATGTAGAAAGCGTTTCAGTACAGTGTAATTATATTGAAGCTATCAAAGTTCCCCCTCCTTAGTTATAAATAATTATCTAGGACTTTTCCATGATATTTCAACAATTATTCATGACACTTTATAGCCCTTGTATCACCCTTGTTATCTATTCCAGCCCCAAGACTTTTTCAGTTTTTAAGTTTTATTTAATCAATCACATTATAATTTAGGTAGTTTTCAACAAAATGATTAATTCTTATGAAATATGATAATGTGTTTTATAAAGTCACAGTTTTACAATACCTTTGCCAGGAAATTCATGATTTCTACATTTTCCACGACTTTTCCCAACCTGGAAATTAGCTTTTTCAGGATTTACATGATGTGTGAGAACCCTGATAATGCTTGTGAAGTTTTTGTTCCAAAAAAAGCTTTACACATTGATGCGAGGAAAAAATTCAAAGACACAATCAGCCACATGTAAAGTCGTTAGATCAATCAGCATTTACTCTCTCTAAACATATAATGTAAGCACTTATATCATGTTATATACGTGATCTCAATTTTTAATAACTGAATAACAAATTTTATACCATACAGAGTTTAGCCTTTTAGCTCATCATCAGTAGTCTTTGAATTACTGACAGTTTGCTCATAAATGAACTGCTCTTATAATATTTCTATAATTACAGTAGGATTAAGGCTTTGTGTTTAATCAAGGTTGTTGTAACAGATCTTCTTTGATTCCCTGACATTTGAAACATAAGTTGAAGTTATTCTTGGTAAGCTCTCCTCACAGGAAGCTACTCTAGTTCAGTGACTACCATAATGGACCAACAGACATAAAACAAATATTTATAACTAAAAGATAGCATAATGATAGTCATTATGGACCAGATATTAACTGTTGTTTAATATATCAGCTCTGCTTGAGTTGATATACTCACAAATCAATGTTTGTGATAGCCATTTCGAGTTTGTGTGCATACACAAACATTTACAAGTACATGTAGACCCTTATCTATAAAGTCAATGTATAACTGGGTTTAAAAAATATTAAAACTTAGTTTTAGCAAGTGAATTTGTTTACATAAGTGTTTCTGGTGCTAAAGGAGTAACATTTTCAGGTTTGTAACAACCATCTTGGATTTTTTTTTTTTACATCTAGGAATCCCTAAAACCTATGAACCTCTGACTGCAAAAATACTTGTAAAATTGGGTCCATTAAATACTAAAACCTAGTCTTGGTTACCAAATTTGAGCACAAGTCATTTGAATGGTGAGATATGGAAGTTTTTACAATTTTGGTTTCCATCTTAGATTTTTCTGTAAATAACAACAGAAAACTGAAGGAAAAAAACAAAGACAATTGTACATTTCACAAAATCTTCATTTATTAATGACCATGGTTCCACTAGTAAAGACTTCATCGGGTACCATGATCGTTAATAAATGAAGTTTTTCTGAAACATACAATTGTCTGTTTTTTCCCTCATATTCTGTAATAATGGAGTTTCAAGTATCAATTACATAAAACAACAGAAAAACATGGAACCTCATTTATTATTTCCTTTAGGGCCTAAACTTTTCAAAATTCTGTTTCCAAAATCTGCTCAAAAAGATTGTGAAATATTAAAATTCTATATACTGACATACGGTATAATTGAAAAAAATACAACATATAACTTCACATTCAAGAATCTTAACACTACCTGAATGTAGGGTGGTGGAGCACAACCTGAAACAACTAGACTGGAAGAAGTACCGGTATCTCTCATTTCGACATCACGATCAGAAAATAGATAACTACTACTTCGTTCATTTGTAAGTATAGCAACAGCCTCGTTAATGTCATTTTTGCTTAAGCGCAGTGCTCTTCTAACTTCTTCAACATCAATAAATCCCATACTCTGAAGGGTATTGATGTGTTCTTCTTCTTGATCCATATTAACTAGTCAGTCCCCAATAATAATAAAAAAGAGAGACTAATGTAGAAGCCCTGCAATAACAAATTTCAAAATTACCATTTTTGTCATGAAAAAATGCACAAAAAAATTAAAATTAACTTCTTAATGTACAAATTAATCAAAAAAGTTAATAATCCAATTCACACAAATCCAGTTCTTTTATAAAGTTATCAGAGTGAATAAATTTTACAAGTAAAATACACCTACTAGTTTAGTTATGTTTTATTTAAGCACAGCATGTTACAGAATTTTGGAAAATTGCACCATTATTTAGATAATAAAATCTTGATGTACTATATCAAGATTATTTCATTTTTACAATTCATTTTTCTATTTCATCAATTTATAAAAAAAAAATGGTTTCATTAGCAAATATAAGTTACCAGTGATTGCTTTGATAAACAGATGCTTTGTGAAAATCAGCTACCCTATTTTTTAGGAAATGGTTCATTTTTATTAATACTTAAAATATTTGAAGATTATAATTATATGATAAGGAAGGTAAAAGTTTCACTTAAAATTCTGCATAGTCTAATTCTTTATTACCATAATTACTCACCAATTGTTATTTTGATACCTATGGCAAAAAAACCTGGTGTTGCAATGTTTTTGAATATATTTTTTAAGGTTCATGTTATCTTGTGACAATCTTAAGATATAATGTACACATCTTTAGACACTTATATTTCAATAACTTCTGAGACTCTTAGAGAACAAAATTATTTCTCACATTAACACACTGAAATAAGCTTTTAAGTGCTTGTGTTATGAAAATCATCATTTCTCTGTTGTGTTTTGTCTATCACATTCCCACATATCTCATTTTTTAACTAGAGACAAAGTATAAAATACACAACGAAAATAATGTTGCGTCAGCAAGGTCACATGACTAGTGTCATGCCACGTTTCTAGAACTATCCTGTACCTTGGTGAATGCCCTTGCACTTACTAGATATAGGGTAGTCTGGTATATATAAGAGGGTGACAACGTGACAGGAATTAA